TGATAGGAATATCCAGAAGGAAATAATGTCACAAAGGCGACAGTGGCAGGTATCAGGTTAAACAAAAGTTGGTCATTTAAGATCTACAGCCTAAAGGCCAAACTACGAATCTTCAACTCAAATATTATTTCCACTTTAACCTACAGCTGTGAGAGCATCCACCAAGGTACAGACAGGCATCTAAATGCCTTCAGAAGCAAAGGTCATATGCAGCTTTCACCAAATCTGTAGTCATGCTGAGAAGACTCCCTAGTTTCACAGTGATGGCACGATGGGCTCTAGCAAGCCTTGTGCCTGCACTGTTAAGCCCTGTTTTAGCACATGCCTGACTTTAAGCACATTGGCTTCAAACGCGACTGCTCACGTGCTTACAGATAAGTACGTGGGGCTCAATCCAAAGCCCGCTTAAGTCAAGGGGTCCCAGTTAGGAGTACCGTTGATATGAGCTAATAGAGTGCAAAGGCCTCATGCTTTTAAGGGTAAAGCATCTGGGTTCAAATCTCATTCTGAGGCAGGAATGCAGAGGAATTAACTCCAGCCCATGTTTTTCAAAGGGACTCGTGATTTTGACACATCTTACAGGGGCCCGATGTTCGGACGGCAGGGGCTCCGCACTTCCTGAAAATCAGGTCCGTCTAAAAGGTCTCAAGTTGGGCACTCAAAATGACTATTTCCGTTGGAAATCTGTCTTTCCTGCTTCTCTCTTGAGATGTCTCTAGTCGGTGCTGGCTTGGCTCTTGGGGTCTTTGCTTTGGCAGGAGAGTGAAGCATCTGACATGTTTATCAGACTATTTACAGACAAAAGACCAAAGCCCATTTGAGCAAGGAGAAGTAGGGGTTGGAGGCTCATTTTGGGAGCCCAGACATTTTAAATTTGAATGCATGTTATGAACAGTAAATTGCAAGTTATACAGCCACAACAGGGGAGCTGGAATTCACTTTTCCAGGGTGCTCCAAGGGGATATTGTGAAAACTCATTTTAATTTCTATACGAATTGAGCCACAAACAGGCAATTTTCTCCTGAATATTGGTTCTGCAATATTGGTTCTCAGTAATGCTCTGTGAGAGGAGTATATTTCCCTTGTGTTTTCTTAAACCCCCATTATTTTGGTTATAAATTTAATTAAGCCCTTCTGGAGAGTGCTCTGCGGTATACGAGCTGAGGTTTGTTTTGTTGTTAGAGTGTAGTTAGAAATGAACTGCTGAAATTATGTGGCAATTAGATTTTATGTTTTTGTTCTGTTTAAATACTTTGTATGATATTAAATACCAGATACATTCGCTTCTCCCAATGGAATCAGTATGGCTAAAGTTAAGTGAAAGAGACATCCAAGGCTCTAGGTGGATTAGAAAGATTTTTATTTTCATCAAGCAACAATCTAGCCAGTCCTCCCTCCTTCCATAGGGTCATGCCCAAAACTGCCATTTTGCAGAACGTCTGGGTAAAGATTCTCTCTCAGCAAATATGACATCTGAAAGCTGCATTAGGACCAGCTCTTAAGATGGTGGAAATCAGCAATGCAGCATTTAAGTCAACTGAGGGTCTGGCTCTTAGCGTGGAATGGCCACTCGAGAATTCTCGTTGGATTGGAACATGAACGGGTTCAACTCAATCATGACAGCCTTTTCATTAGGCCATGTCCATAAATAACAGCTAGATATTGTTATTCTATGGAGGGCTTGGCCAATTATCCTCTTTGTTATACTTGTGATTTGTTACTAAGCAACACTTACTGGATTCACAATGCACAGCCAGGCCTACAGTTTGAACTGCTATGTGGAGTTTCAGCCCTAAATTCTACAGAAACGGCCAATGCCAGGCTAACTTTCCTGCTAACAATCAAACATCTTAGAGTAACCAGATGATATCGTTCTCAGATAAAAATGCAGCAGATGATCATCAGGCATCCAATGCCCAAAGTTACACAAACAACTTTCCTTTTTAAGGGTAGCGCCTATGGTTTTTGTTTATAGAAGCACCCAACGGCGCCGATCACGATCAAAGCCCTGTTGTGCTGGGCACTATACATAGAAATAATAAGGGGCAATCGGCTGTCTCAAACAGCTTACAAGCTAACTAGACAAAGACTCTGTTCTTTAGATAGAGGCTTAAATGTTGGTGTCACATTCCACCCTCCCCCAGGCCCAGAGCATCCAGCCTGTCACTAGACACAGCAGCAGCTCCTCACTCTCAGCAAGTGGATGATAGGAACACTCATGATTAACGCACAGGAGCTCCAGAAACAGACACTGTGCAAGACTAGCATATGTCAGCCCTTGCCTTTTTTTTTTTTTTTTGGTGGCACTGTCTGTTCTTAGGAGATTAAAGGGGGTAAAATAAACCCCAGAGGCTTGTGTAATGAATGCAGGTCCTAGAGAACACAGCACCAATTAGGACTAGCTCTGGGCTTTTTAAAATATTATATATCTACTGAGAAACATATAGTTCTGTTTTCAGTCACTTTATTGCAGAACCTCAAGCATTGCCAGCAAGGAAAACATCTTCAAACCCATACTGGAGCACAAATGTCCTGCCGAGGGAGGGCTATCCATCTATGCCTAATACTCTTTTACTGTTATATTGTTGGCAGTTTAACAACAGCTAAACAGCGTAAGTCCCAGCAAGAGATTTCTGAGCTGTTTAAGTATGAAAAGTATGACATTTTAATTAGAGGAGAAGCTTCCCATTTGTGGCATGCACCCCCCTCTGTTTGATCTGGAATGCAGAGTCCACCTGTAATTTGCATGTTTCTGTTCAAAGGTGCATTAACCAGAAGCCAGGGCCAGTCTGAAATGAGTTTTGTAGGGTCTCAGACCAATGCCTTCTGGATGGAGTCTACCACAAAAATGCTGTCATCATAACTGGGATTAATTGCCTCCCTTCCTGGAAGGCTCAGCAGAGAGGCCAGTCATCAGATGGACCTGGAATGTTAATTCCCTGATCTCCTGATTCACACTGCGGTTGGGGTACAGCTCATATGACAGCAGTCCAGTGAATAGAGACAGGACATAAGTTTTCAGGACTTGCACTGAAATTGACTTGTGAGATGATAATACTGGCTGATCACAAGACAATGGCTGTGTCTGAGGTCAGGACAGCAGGTGTAAAAAAATAAGACATTCTGTAGGAAAACTTGTTGGGCCAACTTTTGCAGGGAAAATGTTTGGGTCAGATTCCCTCAGGGTGCAGATGCATGTCATCAGGAATTTGGACCACTGAATTAGTTGGATCAATTAATTATTGGGTTGCAAAGTTCCCAGTGTTTATGGTGCCCTCGTGTTTACAAAGCAACCATCTCAGTTGGACAGACTGGATGATTCTTTATAGAAACTATACTTATAACAAAGTTTAATTATTTTCTAGAGGTATATAAAGTATAACACACACTGTATCTGCTCTGCTGCGACTGATCGCACACAAGCTCTATGTATCACAGTAGGAAATGTCAATTGTAAAGAGAAGCCAAGTGGATTTAAAATATCATTGGTTATGAAGATGTTTTAGAGACAGAGTCACTTTCTCCACTGCCCGTTCTCTGTTTTACCTACCCACCTTGAAATGGGAGTTGCAGGGTCTTGGATCAATGGCTTTTAACATTTCAGTCTTCCCTGTTACTTCTGTTCTAATTTTTTAACAGCAGTACTCCATCCTCAGCGAATCCAATTGTGAATGACCTTTTCAATGTCCCACTTGCAGGCTCCCTGGAGTGTAAAACAGGTTATTGCCTAGATTTGTGCCTCCTGTATAAGACATGGATATGAGTTCCTGGGTGTGAAGCACCGTGTTTATCTTTGTATTCTATTCTCTTCAGTATTGGTTCTCATACCGCCAATAGCCGCGTCCCTTATGGTAATGCATTAAGTGCCATGAACAACATCTGTCCTTGTGTGAGTGTGTCTGAGAGTGTGTGTGTCTATCTCTAAAATATGGCTGCATTAGATGGAATTTTCCTTGCTCAATATATTGACAATGGAACTGGTGTTGAGGGATTAAGAATTACAGCAAACAGACAGAACAAGAATCCCATCATGTCCCTCCTGCAATGAACAGTTGTGAGTAATTTCAGTGCATTAAATTGCCAGGCTTTCCCCAGGCACTTAATGAGAAATGACTGACACCACCGAGTCATCTCCACGAGCGAAGGGCCTGTTGGAAGAGAATGGCACTTGGAGAAACGACTGGGACCTTGGCATTTAGCCTTCAGTTAGCTGAGTTCACGCAGCTCCTGAGGCCCTGACTTCATGCGAAAAAGACAATTATCCTTCCTCCATTTTGCTTCATTGACAAGTAAGAAACAAAAATAGCACAGAGGCAGCTGAACACATCCAGCAGCCATGCCCTGGGCTGGAGCTTTGACAGCACTACCAGTCAACATTGGCAGCACGCTCCCTAATTTAAGCAGAGCTTGCTAAAGACCAAACTCATGGACGTAGAGTCCAGGGGGCGTATTGCCGTAGTGATGGAACGGGAGGAAGGAGCCTATTCAGCCGTTGACGGTGTTTCTCTGCAAGACGCTTCGTTTACATCAAACATTTTAATTGCTCTGCTTTCTGTGCCTCTCTCCTTCACACCAACAAAGAACTAACTTTTGACATGAAAAAACTGTGGTGCCCACAAGTTCTACATCACGCATGCAGTCTCTCTCTCCCTCCCCACCTCAGCCTGCTGTGCGGGCAGGCTTCAAAGAGCCAGCCCCATGGCCTGCTGGGTAGAGCCAGTCGGAAAACAGAATTTCTGGTTCCTGGGACATTCTGAAATTTCCAAATTTGCTGCCATTCCTAATTGCAGCAAAAATGCAAAATTTTCAAAAATTTCCCATGGAATGAAAATTCTGACAAATTGTGATTTGAAGCCATTGAAATATGTCGCTTTCATTCATTTCAACTTACTCATTTAATATAATAATGTTAAAACATTATAATATAAAACATTAAGCCTGATGTATGGATACATATAATCAAATATAGTGCTGAAAATAATATACTAATCTAATATAAAAGTCCAAACATAATGAATCAGATCAACAACATGAAACGTTTTTACCTTATTGAAGCAAGAAAATCAAAACAATTTGTTTAACAGAATCATAGAAATGTAGGGCTGGAAAGGATATCAAGGGTCACAGAATTTAAGGTCAGAAGGGACCATCTAATCTGACCTTGTGTGTATCACAGGCCACCAACACCATGCAGCCACTCACACACTAAACCCCACAACCGAAATTAGACCAAAGTCTTACCGGCCTCAGGAGACTACGCTTTTCTATGCTACAGGCAGAGACTCGGAGGGATGGAAGTGCACCAATGCCTGAGGATCTAAAATGGCAGGGAACTGATTAATTGATTTGACAAGGTCCCTCACCAAAGGCTCTTCAGCAAAGTAGGCAGTCATGCAATAAGAGGGAAGCTTCTCTCATGGATTGGTAACTGGTTAAAAGATAGGAAACAAAGGGTAGGAATAAATATAAATCCATGGTACGCCCACATCTTGAATACTGCGTGCAGATGTGGTCGCCCCATCTCAAAAAAGAGATATTGGAATTGGGAAAGGTTCAGAAAAGGGCAAGACTAATTATTAGGAGTATGGAATGGCTTCTGTTTGAGGAGCGATTAATAAGACTGGCCAGGAGGCAGGGAACTGGAGGGACCTAACAAAAAGGCAGAGCTACTGATGTTGGCCCCAGTGTTCCAAGCTGAATACTAGACCTCTCTTCTGACCATAGCAACAAGCAAAGGCCTGCCAGCTCTGTGCAGCAGAAGATGGGAAATGGAACTGGCAGTTTTCTGCATCCATGTCCCGCAAAAGAAAAATAAAAATCACATTTTAATTAGCGCAATTTAATCGCCGCATCTAAACCCTTCGCTTCCCAGCCGGCAAAATGTCAGCATCGTCTGACAGCAAAAAGGTGGCAGTCCGCCCTTGGATTCTCTTCACAGACAGACAATGTCCAAAGGGAGACGAAGGTTGCCCCCATGCAGCTAAACAGTGTCAGGGACTTGCCGGGGAACAGGGTCCTCCCGTCTATCGTGTTTGTCAATCACTCTCCAAAAGGCCAGGCGCTTGGCAGCTACAACCGGGCACAGGCTGTATCCTGTCGCAGTTTTCAGCAATGTCCTCATTGCAGGCTCCCAGGCAAAAGCAAAGGGAAATACATGCACAAGATTTTTAAGGCCAGCAGGGACCACTGTGATCATCCAGTCTGACCTCTAACATCACACAGACCAGAGAATTCCAGCTAGTTGAGACTCCACTCCGGAAAACAGCAGCTAACTGGAGCAATACATAGGGACATAATTCAGACTGTGAAATAGGCTTCAGTTTCCACAAGGTATTTTTAGCACTGTCATTTCCCTTGCTTCCTCCTTTTCCTGCTCTAACCCTCATCAGCCCTTCCAGGAGAAAACCATTTGGTGATTTATTGGACTGACCATGTCTAGATATGAGCACAGTTAAGAAATCCACTGTGCCCCTCAAACAGAACCTTGTCTGAATAGGGTAACCCGGGCTCCTGCCTAGCAATGGAAAGCAGCTCCCAATCCCAGTCCTGCTCACCTTTATTTCCCTGGGGTGAATTTCACCACCATCCCCATCCCCTCCGTGCAGAGAGCCGGCGCCTCTCAAATCCCACCTCAGACAAGGGGCCTGGCTAGAACTCCCTTTGTGTTAAAGCTGTGTTGGCACTTCCAGTGCAAAATTAAATTTCCTTTCAGTCTGAGCACAGCTACCCGGGCTTTGGTAGCTTCAACACTTCTCTGTCCAGAGCTATGAAGTCTGCTTGTCTGGTGCCTACAGCTCTCTCATCAAAGGGAGCAAACGAAATATTTACATGGTCACTTAGGTCTGTTTGCTGGGACAGAAAGCTTAAGCTGAGGGGAGATGATATTATTTATGATTTCCTGAGCTCCATGCTATACAAACATATGTTACAAGCCGGGTCAGAACCTGAGTAATGAGAGCTGCATGAGCAAATATACTGTGGCCTTCCATCATCTGGGAAGGGTGAGATACAGCCCTTGCAAACAAGTTCATCAGGAAAGATGAGTCTCCTCCCACCTGGGGCTACAGGGTTGTTTATTTATAACACTGCTTCTCAGCAACTGAGAAGACAAAGAAAGAGTCACCATCTCGGGCATGTGCAAGTTGACAAATTCATCATTATTTCAGAGTTCTCACCGGATAAAATAAGGGTCATCAAAGGCTGCTCAGAAGTTTTCATCCACCATTGTAAAGGCAATGTGTGCACCAAAGACCACACTCCAGTTAACTCCCTGTCTTAGGAGCAGGGGCACTTCACTCAGAAGCCGTAAGGCATCCCTGCAAATAACCGGTAGCCCAGCCAGAGGCTCCTTTGCAAAGAAAGGCACTGCTAAGTTGCTGAAAGCAGCCCAGATGGGCTGCCTGAAAGGAGCACAAGGCTGGGTTTCAATGCAGAGATTCTGGGGAAAGGCAAAGCTGAATTTCTCTAAGCCTGGTGGAATGATTGCTCTTCCGTCTCAGGTTTCACCTGGACCAATGGCACTACAGAGGCTGGAGTCTGATCCAAAGCCCATTGAAAGATTCCCATTGACTTCAGTGGGCTTTGGACCAGGCCTAAAATCCGCCTTCCAAGCAAATACTTAACGAGAATTAAGTCCTGTTAATGCTTGGGCTAAAATGAAATTCTCTCTCGCAATACAGTGCATGTGGACCAGGCACTATCAAATATGGTCAATATATTGCAATTAATATAGAATATATTCTAATAATTCATAAGAATACAATGACTTAGTTGTGATGATGGTGCATAGAGGACTGTTCCTCTCCCAGTTCCCCAGCGGGTCATCCCCCTTAAAATCACATTTCTTCTCTGAGGCCTGCAAGGTCCACGTATATAATTCAAAAAGAAAAACACACTGAGTCCTCTGTTTCCTGGCTCTTCTATGTCTCTCTCTGAGACTTCAAGCTCTGTCCTCATTTTGTGCCTGCACAGTGCTAAGTACAAAACAGACAAGTAGTAAGGAATTAACCTCTTGGGTGCTGCACTGCCAGGTCGGGGCCGCACACTGGTTACTGCAGCCCTCCACCGTTGTTAGGGATCTAGCAAAAGGCAGAGAAACCAGCTGGCCAAGAGAAGCCACTTTTTCCCCTCCCCATCAACAAAAGATGAGCTGAAAGATCATTTCGTCCCACACTCCTCAAAACACTGGTCCCGGCTCTGCCAAACATGAGGCTGGAATAAAAGGCTCCACTTTTATTTATGTATTCACAAATATATTTGTGTCCCATTGCTGTGCCCTGTTCCAAGTTGCAAACTGATAAATACTCTACACCATTCCCGGCTCTTGAAGGGCAAGGAGAGAGGAGACCAACTGACCCCGTGTGACCACCCTCTAGGAGATCTCCCAGACAGCTGATCAAGAATCCTAGTCTAGCAGAGAAAACACCTGGCACCGTTTCCTGAAAGCTGACGATTCTGTTGCATAACAATAAGTCAGTGCTGATCATTTGGAGGCAGTGCGGGCTCATTTGGGCCAGACAGCCTCCTGCAGTTATCTCTTCAGCATGGAGAGGACTAAACACGCCAGCAATGGGAGGAATTTACCACAGAACCTTTTCTGACCCCACACACAAACACACGCAGGCCCAAATTTTCAACAGGGGCTTCTCATTCAGAGCGTTGCATCCCCAGGTTTGGATATCCAGTGCCTCTCTATAGAGGTGCTGAGCACCTCCAGCTCCCATTGTCTTCATTGGCTACTCAGCATTGGTGAAAAACAGGACATCTCAAGTCGGACACCCAAAATCAGAGGCTGCTTTTCAAAGTCTGAGCATCTGTACCCACATACTGTAAAACTCCACTCCTGGCTCAGATATTTGTGGGCATTTCAACAAATCTGTTGTCAACTAGTATATCCGTGGCCTGGAGGGACAGGGGATGAGGGTTGAATTCATGTTCACCTCTTAACCCATCCCTAGAACCAGCTCCGTGACGGTAAGTCCTCTGCTCAATGCCTCAAGGTGTGGAGACATCTGAGGACATAATTTGAAATGGTTAGAGAAACACCCTCTCCCCTTACCCTTTTGGTGGGAAGAAGGGAGGGGAATTCTTTTAGGATTTCCCCTCCCTCACCCCAGTTGTCCATTTCAGGCATTATTTTTCCCTTAAGTCTGTTTTGTTTCCTTGTTTCATTTGCCGTGGCAGCTGCTGGTATGAAAGTGGGATGTTGGAATAACGGACACATAACTGCACCATATGCTCTGTGTCTATTTCCAGCAGTGGGTGGGAATCACAGGGCCTCAATTCCTGCTTACGCTAAGGACCCTGTGCACCACTCTGATTCCTGTAAAAGCTCCCCATTTAAGGGAGGAATGGAAGCAGGAAGCTCTGTGGGAGACGTGGGAATGATTGTATGGACCCTGCTGGAGTTACATCTGTTGACAAACAGAGGTGTGTAGCTTTTGCATCCACTTCCATCTCCCAGATGAAATTACTACCATGGAAGCACATACACATGGGTCAAATCCAGCACTCCCACCCCCAAGCCTTCAAAAACATGGGTCAGACCCCAAGAATAACCAGTGTTGGGTTCTTTGTGTTTGCCCTCAGGCCCTGGAGACTTTCGGATTCACGTCCTCCAGCTTTTCTCAGCAAACACGTGAACTAGAAATGTATTTACTTTTAAAAAAATGAAAGTTGAGATTTTCCTACAATCGCCTGACTCCAAGAGCTAGTGATTGAAGAAACAACATCTAATACTGCGAGACTCAACATAAAATTGCAAGAGTTGGTGACTCTACAAATCCATCCCACCTGTTGACCATGTCAGGGGTGAATTGGAGCTCACAGTTTTAAGCTTTTTCACCACTCCACGTCACCCTGCTCCCCATGTTATTCACTGGCAAGTCCCTGCCTTGCAGCAAGGTAGCAATGTTTTGCTTCTGATTCCTAATGGCCAGCTGGAGGGGCATCCAGCCCACCTTGTTCTTAACATTCATGTCTGCTTTGTGCTCCAGAAGGTTGATGGTGCTCAGGAAGGCACCTTGCTGGACCGCGAGGTGGAGAGGGGTCAACTCTGATTTCTCAATGATGTTGGGGTCCACCCTACTTCTCAGGAGCTCACAGACCACAGACTTTTTGCTGTAGTGGGTGGCCATATGAAGAGGTGTCCAATCCATGCCTCCTTTGACATTCAGTTTAGCGTGGTTGTCTCTTAGCAGACAGACGATTTTGATGCAGCCCTTAAAACAAGCCAGGTGTAGGGGGGTCCACCCTTTGTCCATCCTCAAGTCCATATTGGCCCCGTATTTGATCAATTTCTCGCATATCAGGTATTTCCCCTTCACCGCGGCCATGTGCAAGGCACTGTAGTGATTCTCATCCAGGCCATTGACAGATGCCCCACTCTTCAGCAGGTATTGGACCACCCTGAACTTACCCCTCGCCACAGCAAAGTGCAGTGGGGTCCGGTGGTTCTTCTGCTTCCTCTCCAGGTCAGCTCCTTAGCTGGCCAGGAGTTTCACAAGGCTGACGTGCCCGAAGCAAGCTGCCATGTGGAGGGCAGTTCTCCCATCATTCTCCTGGCAGTTGGGGTCAGCCTGGCAGGAAAGCAGCACCCGAGCCACGTTCTCGAAGTTGTTCTGAGATGCCAAGTGGAGTGGAGTCCAGCCTTCACATTCTTGGGAGTCTGCCCGCGCCTGGTGGTCCCCAGCAAGAGGAGCGCAATCCTGTCATCCCTGTTCTGAGCCGTGAAGTGAAGAGGGGACCAGCCGTCTTTGTCAGCCACATTGACATCCGCGCCGTGCTCTATTAGAGCTGAGCAGATCTCTGGTGACCTCTTCTGGACAGCCACGATGAATGGGGTGTAGCCACAGTCCAGCTGGCTGTCCACGTTGGCCTCCCGACTCAACAGAAACTTCACCTTCTCCACATTTCCTTGAACCACCACGAGGTGAAGCAGGGTGAGGCCATTTTCCTGGGCCCTGCGGACTTCCTTGGACATTATGAAGCTCTCCAGGCCCTCGATCTCGCTGGTGGGGAATGTGGGAAATCAGTCTCTAAGGACAGAGGAAATGGAGTGTGAGAAAGAGAAAGCAACTGAGTGATATAACAGCTTGAGGGCTCCCAAACTACAGTGTGCATAGCACTGGGGAATTCTGGATGCCCACAGCTCAAAACAAAATCCAAGCATGTGGATCTGCAGGGTCTAAAACCAAAGGAAATGCACCTGCCTGCCAGTCTGCTATGGGACAGAGCTGTATGGGTAAGAGCAAAGGAAACACTTGGCATCTCTCTCACGAGGACTTTATATTTGTTCTTTTTTTGGTTTGCACTTTTCCTTAACCTGAAATTAAAAATCACCCAGTCCGAAAGCCATGGATTGCTTTTTTGAATGGAGACTATCATAGGGGAAAGGTGGGAAACAGGGCTGTTCTGTTCTCTTGCCCACTTGATTCTCATCTAAGGTTTATGAGCAACAGTGCCCTACTCACCACTACTCCTTGTGTCTTGGGAGAGGATGGATCCTTGTCTTTGGTTCTTGTTTTCAGGAAGGAGAGATAATAGGAGAAGAACATTATGGACAGTTTGTTATTTGCAATTTACCATTTGTGTGTTTCATGTTCTTCCCATTTAGCGCGCTAGGATTTTGTGCCATCATTTATGCATAATATTGGGGGGGGGTTTATTGTTACCTGAATATGGCTTCTTCTGCATAAGAACCTCCCAAATTACAATCCCAAAGCTGCAGGGAATGAAAGATCACCAGCAGCCGTCCATGTGGCATCCTTTTCTTAAATAAAAATTAATCTCACTGCTTGGTGGGATACTCTCATCTTCCCCAGGAATGGACAGATTAGGGAAGAGGCTATTCAGATGAATCTTATCACAAGGGAACCAGCCCCCATGCCTCCAAAGGGGAGGATTTCTCAAACCGTCACAGAAACCTCGGACAGCCCAGCACTGCCAGGCTGCTCCAATGCCAGAACTGAGGTTTCTCACTGTAATGGATTGCTCCACATGACAGCCACTGCAAGAATCAGGCTCTGAGCCCCATTGTTTTGACCCAGTTCCCATTTGGAACCTATGCTTGTCGACGCCAAAGTCCCAGCATTCATTTGACCCTGGGATGATTCTTCGCTTCTTGTTCTGCAGTGTGTCTGCTAAACAGCTGGTGCATCTCAGGGATGGGTAAAGGGTCCCCCTATATCTAGTTTGGGATGTAAGGAACAAGGGGAACCGAAGTCATTGGCCTTTCTCCAGTATGGCACCCCATACTGACCAAAGCTAAGCTGATACCCAAATGCAAAGCCCGAACAGAACCTCAATTGCTTCAGTACCAGCATAACTCTAAGCAATGCCTGTTGAGCAAGAGATCCCATGCTGCCTGCATTGTGGCTTAATATTATTCCTCTCCTCCAACCGCTCTTGCTGACCTAACAGGGTGTGATGGAACCGGAGGCAATGCATCATACAAGTCGTGCCGGGTCAGAACTGTACAGAAATGCAGTTGGTCGGAGCCAGATGACTCCCCACAGATGAACTCACCTTGATGAGGGGTAAGCAGCACATGTCGCTCTTGGCATGTTCCCCACCAAGTACATTATGCAAGGAAGAGAGCCAGAATGTAAACAAAATTAGGCGATGCACAATCACTCTCACGTCATGCAGGAGTGAGATGGCAACTCTGGCTGACTCCTGAACAGATATCCTCAGCTGCTGCTGCCTCCCATCCAGTCACTCTGTGCGCAGCCCTTACCTATACACATCGTATTCGGTTCCTGGAGGCCTGGTGCTCTGGAGAAACATTTCAGGCGGGATGTAGCTCAGGGTGCACCTCAAGGCTGATCTCTCAATGTACTGCATCCGGCTCACTTGCTCCATCCAAGTGGACAACCTGAAGTCTGAAATCTGAAATCGGGGCCAGTTATAGCCTCCCTTTTGATCACCCAGCACACATCCCTCTCCCTGCTTGCTCTAAACAACTGTACCCTAGATGGCTACAGACAGAGGGAAGGTTTTGTGATTAAGATGTGGGGAATGAACTCCCAGGCCTGTTGAATCAGGGAGAGATTTGCCATTGAGCTTGATGGGGGCCAGGATTTTACCCTGGATTGGCACTGACTTGCATTCAATTCCCAGCTATGCCACAGACTCCACATTTGATCCTGGGAAAGTCATTTATCTGTCTGTCTCCGTTCCCAGTCCCACCTTGTACGTTCTATCCGTTACTTCCATCCTCTCTTTACTTTGTCTATTTCAGCTGTCAGCAAACCAGGGACGGGGCTGTCCCTTGTTATGTGTCCGTCTCTGATGTTCTTTGGGGTCTCTAAGCAAAACAATAAATAGCACTGATAACAGAGAGAACCCATTCCTATGCACACAGACCTAATGCCTTACCTTAACGTGCACATTCCCATCTAGAAGGATATTCCCTGGTTTTAAGTCTAAGTGAAGTAAAGGTGGTGTCGTGTTATGTAGGAAATTCATAGCCAACCCCATCTCATGGATAATGTGGAACTTGAGCTGCCAGGACAGTTTGTGGGTGGGGAACACTGTCTCCAAGGACCCCTGGGCCATGTGTCCCATCACTATCCCCAGTGGGCTGTTGCAAATCCCATAGATGGAGACGATATGGTGCAATTTTATTTTCTCCATCTTGGCTGCCTCTTCGACAAGGCAGTTCATGCTGGTTCTGCAGGGAGCATAGAACGGAGAGATATCAGTGCGGATTCACAGGCAGCATGATAGGGCTGCAGCCCAGAGCACACCCAAACTCCCCGAGCAGACTGGCCCTGTACACCCATCCACCTCCAGGATCAATGACAACACTCCGAAGCAGCAGCCTGTCTCCCAGGCTAGCGTGACCCTGCAGATGGCATCTGGAAATGTGTTGCTCTGTTGCAGGCCAAGTTCTAAGCCAAGTTCTGCTTTAAAGGCCATGGGTTTCCATAACCAGCTGGCAACTGTACATGCCAAGTATCTAAATGAAATAGGTCAAAGCATATTGACTCCCAGCCTTCGAATAATGCCATACCGGGGACCCAGCTCTCAGACCAGTTCACAACCTTCCCATCAGTTATCTCACAAAGCCTCTGGGTGTTGCTGCCGCTATGCCTTGATTAAATTCATAAATCACACCCACTGTGTCATTCAAGTCTATGCACCTCCCAACCCATTTGACCAGTCTGGGTGTTCCCGGCATGTTCAAGGCAGCAGAGCAGTTCATGTCAAAAATTCAGTTACACAGGCGGGTTGGGAATGAATTGCATAGGGGCACTAGTACTCTCAGACCCAACAAAAAGCAAAGAGAAATCTAGACAAAGGATTTGCTAGTATGAACAACACAGTTAAACTCAGCTGTGTTCAGGGCAATGTCTTTCATGTTTCAGGCCAGGTTTACAATAGAGCCCAAACTCCAAAGCCCTGGTGTGGCATGCAGACAGGTATACACACATGCAGATGAGAGCTGGCACGGGCATTTTAGCACTTTTGGAAGTCTGGCCCTCAGTGTACTCCAGACACTATCCAAAGTGAAGTCTTCCAGTCACGGGTATTACAGGCCAGATCATGCCACAGCTGAATGTAGGTACTCAGGGAAATCAGGGGAAGTAAGCCACAGCCGAGATCCCCTTTTGTGGCTTCTCTGCATCTCAGCTTGGTTGTCCAGTGTTAGCCCAAGAGCAGGTGGGTGCGGAGAGAGGCAAAAGGTGTTTTGAACCTGGGTTCTGCCCCCATCCCAGGAGCCACCTGGCTCATGCAGCCCGGGAATAAGCTGCGCCCTGAAGCGAAGGATGCTGCCGATTCCTGTCCCCCATGAGCAAAGGGGAAGCAGAGAATGAATTTTACCTCACTGATTTACAGTTCCTTCCTTGGGCTCCTCCTGGGGCAGTGCAGCTATGCACTGCCTGTACCAGGGCTAGGAGCAATGAATCATAGAATCATAGAATATCAGGGTTGGAAGGGACCCCTGAAGGTCATCTAGTCCAACCCCCTGCTCGAAGCAGGATCAATTCCCAGTTAAATCATCCCAGCCAGGGCTTTGTCAAGCCTGACCTTAAAAACCTCTAAGGAAGGAGATTCTACCACCTCCCTAGGTAACGCATTCCAGTGTTTCACCACCCTCTTAGTGAAAAAGCTTTTCCTAATATCCAATCTAAACCTCCTCCACTGCAACTTGAGACCATTACTCCTCGTTCTGTCATCTGCTACCATTGAGAACAGTCTAGAGCCATCCTCTTTGGAACCCCCTTTCAGGTAGTTGAAAGCAGCTATCAAATCCCCCCTCATTCTTCTCTTCTGCAGGCTAAACAATCCCAGCTCCCTCAGCCTCTCCTCATAACTCATGTGTTCTAGACCCCTAATCATTTTTGTTGCCCTTCGCTGGACTCTCTCCAATTTATCCACATCCTTCTTGTAGTGTGGGGCCCAAAACTGGACACAGTTCTCCAGATGAGGCCTCACCAATGTCGAATAGAGGGGAACGATCACGTCCCTCGATCTGCTCGCTATGCCCCTACTTATACATCCCAAAATGCCATTGGCCTTCTTGGCAACAAGGGCACACTGCTGACTCATATCCAGCTTCTCGTCCACTGTCACCCCTAGGTCCTTTTCCGCAGAACTGCTGCCTAGCCATTCGGTCCCTAGTCTGTAGCTGTGCATTGGGTTCTTCCGTCCTAAGTGCAGGACCCTGCACTTATCCTTATTGAACCTCATCAGATTTCTTTTGGCCCAATCCTCCAATTTGTCTAGGTCCTTCTGTATCCTATCCCTCCCCTCCAGCGTATCTACCACTCCTCCCAGTTTAGTATCATCCGCAAATTTGCTGAGAGTGCAATCCACACCATCCTCCAGATCATTTATGAAGATATTGAACAAAACCGGCCCCAGGACCGACCCTTGGGGCACTCCACTTGATACCGGCTGCCAACTAGACATGGAGCCATTGATCACTACCCGTTGAGCCCGACAATCTAGCCAGCTTTCTACCCACCTTATAGTGCATTCTTCCAGCCCATACTTCCTTAACTTGCTGACAAGAATACTGTGGGAGACCGTGTCAAAAGCTTTGCTAAAGTCAAGAAACAATACATCCACTGCTTTCCCTTCATCCACAGAACCAGTAATCTCATCATAAAAGGCAATTAGATTAGTCAGGCATGACCTTCCCTTGGTGAATCCATGCTGGCTGTTCCTGATCACTTTCCTCTCATGCAAGTGCTTCAGGATTGATTCTTTGAGGACCTGCTCCATGATTTTTCCAGGGACTGAGGTGAGGCTGACTGGCCTGTAGTTCCCAGGATTCTCCTTCTTCCCTTTTTTAAAGATTGGCACTACATTAGCCTTTTTCCAGTCATCCGGAATTCCCCGGTTCGCCACGAGTTTTCAAAGATAATGGCCAATGGCTCTGCAATCACAGCCACCAATTCCTTCAGCACTCTCGGATGCAACTCGTCCGGCCCCATGGACTTGTGCACGTCCAGCTTTTCTAAATAGTCCCTAACCACCTCTATCTCCACAGAGGGCTGGCCATCTCTTCCCCATTTTGTGATGCCCAGCGCAGCAGTCTGGGAGCTGACCATGTTAGTGAAGACAGAGGCAAAAAAAGCATTGAGTACATTAGCTTTTTCCACATCCTCTGTCACTAGGTTGCCTCCCTCATTCAGTAAGGGGCCCACACTTTCCTTGGCTTTCTTCTTGTTGCCAACATACCTGAAGAAACCCTTCTTGTTACTCTTGACATCTCTTGCTAGCTGCAGCTCCAGGTGCGATTTGGCCCTCCTGATATCATTCCTACATGCCCGAGCAATATTTTTATACTCTTCCCTGGTCATATGTCCAACCTTCCACTTCTTGTAAGCTTCTTTTTTATGTTTAAGATCCGCTAGGATTTCACCATTAAGCCAAGGTGGTCGCCTGCCATATTTACTATTCTTTCGACTCATCGGGATGGTTTGTCCCTGTAACCTCAACAGGGATTCCTTGAAATACAGCCAGCTCTCCTGGACTCCTTTCCCCTTCATGTTAGTCCCCCAGGGGATCCTGGCCATCCGTTCCCTGAGGGAGTCGAAGTCTAAGTCCAGGGTCCGTATCCTGCTGCTTACCTTTCTTCCCTGCGTCAGGATCCTGAACTCAACCAACTCATGGTCACTGCCTCCCAGATTCCCATCCACTTTTGCTTCCCCCACTAATTCTACCCGGTTTGTGAGCAGCAGGTCAAGAAAAGCGCCCCCCCTAGTTGGCTCCTCTAGCACTTGCGCCAGGAAATTGTCCCCTACTCTTTCCAAAAACTTCCTGGATTGTCTGTGCACCGCTGTATTGCTCTCCCAGCAGATATCAGGAAAGTTAAAGTCACCCATGAGAATCAGGGCATGCGATCTAGTAGCTTCCGTGAGCTGCCGGAAGAAAGCCTCATCTACCTCATCCCCCTGGTCCGGTGGTCTATAGCAGACTCCCACCACTACATCACTCTTGTTGCTCACACTTCTAAACTTAATCCAGAGACACTCAGGTTTTTCTACAGTTTCGTACCGGAGCTCTGAGGAGTCATACTGCTCCCTTACATACAGTGCTACTCCCCCACCTTTTCTGCCCTGCCTGTCCTTCCTGAACAGTTTATAACCATCCATGACAGTACTCCAGTCATGTGAGTTATCCCACCAAGTCTCTGTTATTCCAATCACGTCATAGTTCTTTGACATCACCAGGACCTCCAGTTCTCCCTGCTTGTTACCAATGGCTCAGTCTAGGCCTGAATTACAGAGAGAGAGAGAGAGATGGACAGGCTAAGCTGTGGTTTGGGATGGGATTTGAAATCAGCTGGCCAGTCTGTAACAGCAAGGTTGTACTGATGCGAAGGAGGTGGGTTTCGTTCCCCGCCCAGTGACACTCTGAGACAGAACAGAGAGGAGGCGCTGGCAGAGGCTAGACAAGCTGGGGGAGCAGAGAGAAACTGAGCTGTATGCCCCAGTCTGTCTGTATCCCTCTGTTGTCTCTTGTTTCATACTTAGATTGTCAACTCTTTGGGGCAGGGACCATCTTTTTGTTCTGTGTTTGCACAGCGGGATCCTGGTCTGTGCCTGGGCCCTAGAGGCTACGGTAATAACAAACAACCACCACTACCCTAAAATGCTCCCAGTGCAGGGTTCTCAAGCTTCTCCCCTCCACTACACCAAGCCCCTGCTCTGGAAAGGCCTCCAATCCAAATCTGAGACTCTTTCCTGTTTCATGTCCCCATAGCACTCCCCACCCCAATCGGCGCTCTGGACTCCAGAGTCTCCTGAGTGAGTAGAACAGGCTGGCAGTCAGTCCTCAGGCACCGCCCGTTCCACTCTCCAGGTCAGTGCACAGGGAGGTTGGTGCCTGTTCTATTTGTTGCCACCCACATGTGGCCATGTCTCCCATCTTCCCCCTACCTCAGCCCCTCTTTCCTCCTGACAGGTGAGTCTAGCTGAAGTTAGTAAGCTCACTGACAAATGACACCTCCAGTTTGAGTGACTGGTGCAGAGAGGTCACGCTGACACAGAGTGTGAGCGGATAGGAGTCACTACCAAATGCCTCCGTTCATTACTGATCTGTCAGGAATTGCAACCTCATGGCTCCTGGCCAGGTACTCAGGTGACTTTTAAAGGCTCTCTTGAAACCTGCTACTCTGTCTCTTTACAACAGGGTTTCTTCTAGCTAATTCTTTGAATGGTTTGGAACCTTTTCTCTTCCTCATCTTGGGGCCTGTATGGAATACAACGGTCCATCTAGCCCCATATCCTGTCTTCCGACAGTGGCCGATGCCAGGTGTGTGAGAGGGAATGACCAGAATAGGGTAATTATCAAGTGATCCACCTCCTGTCATCCAGTCCCAGCTTCTAGCAGCCAGAGGTTTAGAATCTTAGAATATCAGGGTTGGAAGGGACCTCAGGAGGTCTTCTAGTCCAACCCCCTGCTCAAAGCAGGACCGATCCCCAACTAAATCATCCCAGCCAGGGCTTTGTCAAGCCTGACCTTAAAAACTTCTAAGGAAGGAGATTCCACCACCTCCCTAGGTAACCCATTCCACTGCTTCACCACCCTCCTAGTGAAATAGTTTTTCCTAATGTCCAACCTAAACCTCCCCCACTGCAACTTGAGACCATTACTCCTTGTCCTGTCATCTGTTACCACTGAGAATAGTCTAGATCCATCCTCTTTGGAACCCCCTTTCAGGTAGTTGAAAGCAGCTATCAAATCCCACCTCATTCTTCTCTTCTGCAGACTAAACAATCCCAGTCCCTCAGCCTCTCCTCATAAGTCATGTGTTCCAGTCCCCTAATCATTTTTGTTGCCCTCCACTGAACGTTTTCCAATTTTTCCACATCTTTCTTGCAGTGTGGGGCCCAAAACTGGACACAGGACTCCAGATGAGGCCTCACCAATGTCAAACAGAGGGGAACGATCACGTCCGTCGATCTGCTGGCAATGTCCCTACTTATACATCCCAAAATGCCATTGGCCTTCTTGGCAACAAGGGCACACTGTTGACTCATATCCAGCTTCTCATTCACTGTAACCCCTAGGTCCTTTTCTGCAGAACTGCTGCCTAGCCATTTGGTCCCTAGTCTGTAGCGGTGCATGGGATTCTTCCGTCCTAAGTGCAGGACACCCAGAGCATGGGGTTGCATCCCTGACCATCTTGGCTGGTAGCCATTGATGGACCTAGCCTCCAGGAACTTATCTTGTTCTTTTTGGAACCCAGTTATATTTTTGGCCTTCACAAAATCCCCTAGCAACAAGTTCCACAGGCTGGCTGTGCGTTGTGGGAAGAAGTACTGCTTTGTGTTTGTTTTAAACCTGCTGCTGATTAATTTCATTGGGTGGCCCCTGGTTCTTGTGTTATGTGAACATGATTTATTCCTCTATAACACTTCAAACAGAGGGAATGTGCAAGCAGACAGAGGGCCTCCATCTTACTTACACAAAGGTCTTTTTCTGCCTCTCTGGCAGCATAAAAAAGGAGCCTGAAAATAGGTGCAATCTGCCCTCTGACAATACCCAGCTGATGTAGAAACTGCATAAAAGCTCTATAGCACTCCTACATTCAGCCCCTGCAGTTGGGGGCAGATCTCGGGCATGGCCAGAGACACTGTGGTTAGTCTCTGTATCCCAGGGGCCATGGAAGCAGAGCATAAATTAGAGCAGCCCCAAGGTTGCTCTGAGTTAAACTGAGGGCTAGGAAGACTCCCTTGCATAACCTGAGAATATGGAGGGTGCAAAGGTGGCTTAGTTCAAAAACAGAGTAATTTAAATCCCAGAGAGATCTGTGCAGTGTATACTAAAGGGGCACATTGATAGGTAGTTAATCCAAACTTAGGTATTCAAGTATTTTTCAAACCCTAGTCACAGTGGAAAAATTGTAATGATTTTTCTTTATTACTTCTCCCCTGCTCCTCAAAATGTAACTATCTTTTTGTTTGCATGTAAGGACTCCTCTGTGGTTTATCTACAGAGCTGTACTAGTTTATGAAAACCATTAAATAAAAGTTACTGGGAATGCCTCTAAACAAAAGTAAAACAGACTCTTCTGACTTCATTTCCCAAGTGGAGTGAAATACAAACAAACAAAGAGCATAAGCAATGGAAACTCAAAGAGAGACAGCTAGTGCTCAGATTAAATGATCTGAGACATCATTAGCAACATAGAAAAAGGGAGGTTTATATAATATGTACGCATGTGCGAGAGAGATTTAACCTCACAGAGTCCTACCAACATGGAGCTGATAACTGGTGAGGGTCAGCAACTTTGATACTTTTTCATCAGGACTCCATGAGTTACAGACACACTCTCAGCACTGGCTTGGAATTACCCGTCTTTGCTCTGGGTCTATCCCAATGCTGAGGGTTAATGACATGGTTCCTCCTCCATCGGTCCATGCAGGGAGCTGAATTAAAGTCTCTGCAAGTGTGAGTCTTGACAAGGAGTTACTGGGAAGGCAGATGCGCACAGCAAGGAGCACCGGGAGTGTGGCAGGCAGGGCTAGTACATGAGCACAGAGCATTGTAACTAGGAGCTCTCTGGGCCTAGCAAAGACACCTGGAATTTATACTTGTCTGTGCTGCCCTTGTTCTTTGTTCCATCCACCTTTAACCCTCTCTAAGCACTGGCTAAAAATCTGCAAACCCAGGGATTTAACGTTAGGCATCTAAATCCATAATTGGATATTTAAACAGAAGCAGCCCAATATTTGAAAACGTTCTCAGCTCCCACAAAGCCCACCAATGTCAGGAGGAGTGGCAGGTGCTCTGCACATGGGGAAATCACTTGAGGCATGGCCAGAGGCTGTTATGGAGGCACCTACATAGATTTTGGCCTCCAGGTTTCAATGTTTGGGCCAGTTTTCTTTGTATTAAATATAGAGCTATGTTCATTTTGTGCATGCGCATATGCACACAAGGGAGAGAAAGCAGATAGGATTTCATCTAACAGTTAAGTTTCCTAATCCCTTCTGCTGCCAAGGAAATGATTCCGCTCCACAGGGGGCAGGTGGAGAAGCTCTGAGAGCCCTTTTCCTTAGAGCTTTGTTACCAACTCAAGGCAGCTGGGGCCCTACGGCAGGTTGATTGACACCTCAGACTGAGTTCTGAGGGACTGGGGAGTTACCTGTCTGAGCTGGAATCCGGCAGCAGACACTGGGAGCATTTCACAGCATAGACCATCCTCCACCGCTTGTGCTTCACTTGGTACACCTGCCAAAGCCTCCACTCGCCACCCTGACCCACTCCCCTTCAAAATCCTCCTTATTAAAAACGGTTAAGCTGCCCAAGCACCAGTCCATTTCGAAGCCATGAGGAAGAAAGCAGCCCTGCCGGCTGCCTCCTGCTTGTCTGGAACCCAGGGAGAATGTTTCCTGCTACTCATTTGCATGAGGAGGAGGGTGGAGAGATATGTGAGATTTGTGAGCCGCGTTATACACTGCCAACAGCTGGGTCCTAAATGTGACTCTTAATTGTCTGCCAAGGAATCATGTTAACAAATCCTAGGTCACAACAAACCCTGAGCAGTGCTCAAATGCTATGGCATTGACACCAGGAGTACCCCTGGCCCACATCCTCAAAGAGAGTTAGGCTCCAAACATCCATTGATTTCAATGGAAGCCTAAATACTTTTGGGGATCTGGGCCTCTGTCTTTAGGTTTTTATAAGGTTGCCCATCCCTCTGGTATTTGAGTGCATATGGATAGATACAGTGGAAACTGCAATGCAAAGAGGAACCAGGCAGATAACCCTTTTGCAGCAAAACTGCACTGTCGATAGACATAGGTGTGTGCTGGGTTGAACAGGATCTTGGATTTGCAGCTAAGAGAGTCGTCGCGGGACTCTCAACTCCTCACCAGGAGGTTTGCAGGTCAAAGGTAAAGGGGGGTTTATTTAAATCCAGAAGGTTCCAGCGCTGCAGATTTGCAGTGTTCCACCTGACAAAGGGGAAACACAGGGGTAGGGGCTGTAAGTAAGGGAATATGAAAAATACTCCAGGTGACAAAGGAGAAGACAAATGAGAATGGCTCAGCGCAGGCCCACGGGGAACGCTGAAGCATGAACCTGAGAAAGTGTTAAAAGAAGTACAGAGAGAGAAAAAAGAAAGGGCTGTTACCTAAGGGATTAACCTGATATTCAAGTGCCTGAGAAGCAAGGGGCATTTGAGGAGATGAGAGAAGACTCCTGAGAACTGGTCGGGGGCGGGGGGGTTTAACCAGAAACTGTGTGAACTCTGGTGTTCCGAACAAATTATCTACATTTTGCCAATCTAAATATTGTTTCAATAGGCTAGGGTGCCCTGCTGCATCTCTTCCTGCATAAACTATGCTGTCTTGTGCTTCTAAGCAGCTACCATGCTTCAAACATGGCTGCCTTTCAATGGAGAATGAAGTAATGCCCATTTATAATCACATAGGGCCTGATTTTCACTGGCACTAAGCTCTGGCAGCATAGAGGGGCCTTAAAGAGGGCATAGACCCCAGTGTCAATGAGGATCAAGCCTATCATTTGTAATCAGCCATTTATAAATTGGGTGAAGGGCTTTTTGTTCCATCTTCTCCTGGAGAGAGCCTGCTGCCTTAAATGGGGAGTAGATCTTTGCAGCATGCTCTCACGTATCCCATCCATCACAAATGCATCTGGATTGCTGAGACTATACTTCAGATGCCTGGATAGACACGTACCTGCCAAAGCAGACACAGGTGTGTGTTGCATGATACGTGACTTTCACTGCTACCTGGCAGAAGCAGGCAGCTTCTCCGTCTTTGTCTCCTGATTCTGGTTGAGGTTCTCAGATGTGTTTACATTTCTGAGGCCAACACCCCTGGCAATGGAATCCTTGCCTCTTGCACAATGGGACTGCACATGTTTTCTGCTTCTCAGAAGAACAAATGTGGTTTCATGGCATGCTACAGATTGTTGCTGGGTTTCCTTGGCAGCTCTCTATCTGGCTGGATCCCCCTTGGAGCTCCCCCAAGCTGAATCTTTCACCCTGTTGACTCACTTCCTCCTGAGAAAGATTCCCCTTGACTTCAATAGGCTTTGGAAGGTCAGGTTTCATGAGACTCAGAACTGAAATCTGGGGTTGTCATTCTTTCACTATAAATAGGGTTTCCCTATAGCCAGATTGACTGTGTGGAGTACCGCTGCCTTAGAGGCTACAGGCAGAGACTGAACATCTACATTGCAATTTTACAGCCTGAGTTAGCTGACACTGGCCAGCCATGGTTTTTAGTTGTGGTGTAGACATACCATAAGACACAGTCTTTAAGAGGCTCACTGCCTGGTCCGAATGCTTTCAGCCAGGAAGGTCCTAGATTATAAGACTAAACAGATGTTCCAAGTACAACCGTGATCTCATTACTAGTGCCACAGCAACAACATGCATCTAAAAAAGATAATTATTCCTTTAAGACTCAATATTGATTAAAACTTTCCTGACAACTCCTCATGAATGACAAGTTCTGCATTAGGGCTTGTCAAGGTTCCCTCCCCACTCTGAACTCTAGGGTACAGATGTGGGGACCTGCATGAAAAACCCCCTAAGCTTATTTTTACCAGCTTAGGTTAAAACTTCCCCAAGGTACAGACGATTTTACCTTTTGCCCCGGACTTTATTGCTGCCACCACCACGCGTCTAACAAATATATAACCGGGAAAGAGCCCGCTTGGAAAAGTCTTTCCCCCCAAAATCCTCCCAAACCCCACACCCCCTTTCCTGGGGAAGGCTTGATAAAAATCCTCACCAATTTGCATAGGTGAACACAGACCCAAACCCTTGGACCTTAAGAACAATGAAAAAAACAAAAAGGTTCTTAAAAGAAGAATTTTAATTGAAGAAAAAGTAAAAGAACCACCTCTGTAAAACCAGGATGGTAAATACCTTACAGGGTAATTAGATTCAAAACATAGAGAATCCCTCTAGGCAAAACCTTAAGTTACAAAAAGACACAAAAACAGGAATATATATTCCATTCAGCACAACTTATTTTATCAGCCATTTAAACAAAACAGAATCTAACGCATAACTAACTAGATTGCTTATTAGCCCTTTACAGGAGTTCTGACCTGCATTCCTGCTCTGGTCCTGGCAAAAGCAAAACACAGACAGAGAGAACCCTTTGTTTTCCCCCCCCTCCAGCTTTGAAAGTATCTTGTCTCCTCATTGGTCATTTTGGTCAGGTGCCAGCAAGGTTATCTTTAGCTTCTTAACCCTTTACAGGTGAAAGGGTTTTTTCCTCTGGCCAGGAGGGATTTAAAGGTGGTTAGCCTTCCCTTTATATTTATTTCCCTTCACCAAGGGAAGGTCATGCCTGACTAATCTAATCGCCTTTTATGATGAGATTACTGGTTCTGTGGATGAAGGGAAAGCAGTGGATGTATTGTTTCTTGACTTTAGCAAAGCTTTTGACACGGTCTCCCACAGTATTCTTGTCAGCAAGTTAAGGAAGTATGGGCTGGAAGAATGCACTATAAGGTGGGTAGAAAGCTGGCTAGATTGTCGGGCTCAACGGGTAGTGATCAATGGCTCCATGTCTAGTTGGCAGCCGGTATCAAGTGGAGTGCCCCACGGGTCGGTCCTGGGGCCGGTTTTGTTCAATATCTTCATAAATGATCTGGAGGATGGTGTGGATTGCACTCTCAGCAAATTTGCGGATGATACTAAACTGGGAGGAGTGGTAGATACGCTGGAGGGGAGGGATAGGATACAGAAGGACCTAGACAAATTGGAGGATTGGGCCAAAAGAAATCTGATGAGGTTCAATAAGGATAAGTGCAGGGTCCTGCACTTAGGACGGAAGAACCCAACGCACAGCTAAAGACTAGGGACCGAATGGCTAGGCAGCAGTTCTGGGGAAATGGACCTAGGGGTGACAGTGGACGAGAAGCTGGATATGAATCAGCAGTGTGCCCTTGTTGCCAAGAAGGCCAATGGCATTTTGGGATGTATAAGTAGGGGCATAGCGAGCAGATCGAGGGACGTGATCGTTCCCCTCTATTCGACATTGGTGAGGCCTCATCTGGAGTACTGTGTCCAGTTTTGGGCCCCACACTTCAAGAAGGATGTGGATAAATTGGAGAGAGTCCAGCAAAGGGCAACAAACATGATTAGGGGTCTGGAACACATGACTTATGAGGAGAGGCTGAGGGAGCTGGGATTGTTTAGCCTGCAGAAGAGAAGAATGAGGGGGGATTTGATAGCTGCTTTCAACTACCTGAAAGGGGGTTCCAAAGAGGATGGCTCTAGACTGTTCTCAATGGTAGCAGATGACAGAACGAGGAGTAATGGTCTCAAGTTGCAGTGGGGGAGGTTTAGATTGGATATTAGGAAAAACTTTTTCACTAAGAGGGTGGTGAAACACTGGAATGCGTTACCTAGGGAGGTGGTAGAATCTCCTTCCTTAGAGTTTTTTAAGGTCAGGCTTGACAAAGCCCTGGCTGGGATGATTTAACTGGGATTTGGTCCTGCTTCGAGCAGGGGGGTTGGACTAGATGACCTTCTGGGGTCCCTTCCAACCCTTATATTCTATGATTCTATGACAGGGTTGTATTCACCAATGCACTCTGGCTGGTTTGCCTCACTCCCCTGACACAAAGCAGCTGTAACTCTGGGTGAAATGGTGAATTAAACCGGGTTTAAAGATGCATTGTATTGCTGTAGCAGCACAAAGAAGGCAGAGCCTCCTGGTTTATCTGACCCATCCTCTTCAGATCAAAACCAGACACTTCCTCACCTTTATGGTGTGGTGTAAAGGGCCATTGTTTTTATGAACATATGTTCTCTTTTTTTCCTTCGCATTCCTGGGCATTGCCATTCCCAAGCGTGTCTTCCCAGACAGTGACAAGCATGATAAACAGTGCTGGAAGGCAAACAGAGTGAGTATTTGCCTTTCAGCGCTTGTTTGCAAACTCAGGTGGATGAAGCTAAAAGGTGTTTTGGCTCATGGTGAATTAGCGCATTTGACAAAAGGCAAAACAGAAATCAGGCCGCAGCATTTTAAATCAAATCTCTGAATGCTAAAGCCTGAGGATTTCGGCTTCAGAGCACGGACCAAGGGTGACATTTTTGGTCAAGCCAATTCTGATTAGGAGTTACAGGTAGGAAGAATCTCTGCTTGGAGAATGAGTAAGATAGCTGTCAAGTGGGAGCAGTTTATCGAAAGCAATATAGGAGATTTAAAAAATGTAATCTACTTTGATATTCTAAAGACTGGCGTATAAGATACTGAATATATAAAATATCATTTTGAATGATGATTTTGTAATATGGAAACAAAACATCGGTCACCGTTCAGGCTCC